ATATATATATATACACACACACTGTGACTCCTGGTATTCACTTAAGTGCTAAAAGCATTTATGCAATTCCTTCAAGTACCTGGAGGAGTTGAACATGTCTTTGTAATCACAGTAAGAGCCTGATATTTATAAATACATATTAATTTAATGGCCTGGGTACCTGGGGGGGGGGGGGGCTATTGATTGCAACGCTCTCCCAGAAAACCGCCCTCCAAGGAAACTCTCGTGGGGTATTCAGCTATATAGGAGCATGCTAAGATGCCCATTTGTTAAGGAAGCCATTTATTCCATATTAAGATGGCATGAGGTAACATGATCTTCTTAGCCTCCAGGTTAAGGAGGTTATAAATAAAAATAAATAAGATGGGAAAAAAAACATTTGGCTTGCATCTGGGCTCAGGAGTAATGTTTTTCTTAGAAGAAGAAGTGGTCAGATCTGCCAACAATCCAGTTTTCAGCAAAAAAAAACCAAATCAATCCAGTTATGGGTGAAAGTGGAAATCCACACCGAGGATCATACATTAGCAATGTGCACATCTGGAAACCCAAAGGCAACCACGCATGACATCAAGGAACAGAGACTTGTATCATTTAAAGAGTGCATCATTTTGTGTGCAACCTTCATGTCCCAGATTCACAAGAGTAGCGTGATTAAGGGTTAAACGTTAAGATGCCGCAGTGAAACGGCAAGGCTCTGTCGCGGAGGGGGTAGGTGACAACACCAAGAGGTCCTGCCTGTTCACACCTGTCCGAGTTTCTCCTTGTTCATTTGGTAAAAGCGGCCACCACGGCCCAGAGAAGCTCGTTAGCATTGGCCTTCATGCTCTCCCCCTCGGGCTCCAAGTCCAAGAGGTTCCGAACCCTCTTCATGGCCAGGTCGTACTGGTCATCCAGCAGTGGGGCGAAGGCGTTCTCCAGCACGTCGGATGAGTGGGCCAAGAAGATGAGGGCTAGCATCCGCTTGTCCATCCGGTGGGGGTCGTTCACCCACTTGTCCAGCACGGCCTCCTGCAGCTTCCTGATGAGCCGTTGCTTTATGTCGCTGTTGGTCAGCGGGTGCGTGGTCATGTCGAAGAGCAGGAAGTTCTGCTTCTCTGTGGTGAGCACGCCTTTCTCCACCAGGTTCTTGGCCAGCCGTTCTCGCACGTTCCTCAGCTGGTAGTGGAGCTTCAGGGGGTTCCATGTCTCGCCTGCAGATGAGGTCATAAACTATATTCATTTACAGCAGAACGTCACAACAGAGCATCCTTTCTGCATCAGTGGAGGACCTTTGATGGGCAAGGCTCATATGTTGCTGTTCAAGATGGTCTACAAGATGGTCTACAATGGATCCTCCAGCAAAGTTCTACCACTCAGATTCATCTAACTGCTATGATGTATAAGCATCGATATATTAGCATCATTCCCATTGAGGGAAGGTCAGCGAACTCAGGCCCCTGAGCAGCCTCTGGGTGTGGGAGGAATTTAGTTCCTGGTGGTTGAGAGCGGAATGCAGCCTCCTCATGGCCTTTACTCACCGCTGAGCAGCTCGATCCATCTCTGCACCGTTTCAGGTGGCTCAGTCTCTTTAATGTGCTTCAGAGCTTCATCCAGCAAGACATCCCCCGTCGGAGCGTCGGATTTGCAGATCACCTAAAAGGAGAGAGTGGCTTTTTTGTCACGAGGAAGAAGAACGTACGGCAAGGTGAAGAGTGCTGAAATGCGGCTTGACTGCAATGACCATGTTATATAAGAATATTCACAATGTGGCAGTAGTTTCAGATCTGGATCTGGCGGTTCAGTGCTATTTGTCTGGGGTTTCCTTGAAAGGATTCAGCTCAAGGGAATGAAGTAATGATATAAACAGTCTTTAGTGTAGCAGTGTGCGTGCGTGTGCAAGTGCGCATCCTGATTTACATCCAAACCAGATTAGCATGATAACTTTGCATAAGCAGTCACTGAAAATGGATAGCTGAGTGGCTCTGAACAACTCCCACCCTCCCTTATGTGGCAATAAGACAAAGCGATAAAAAAACCACTAAAGAATTTGGAAACATATTCTATGTTACTGTAGGATGCAAAACATTTGTTTTGATTACATAAAAGCAAATTTGCACGACTTTTCACTGCTATGGTGTGCTTCATTTTGCTTCATAATAAGTGTTCCATTTTAACCAAGGCTTCCCCAAGCACACAGCATACAATATGGAGGTATTCGGAAATTAAGCGTATTACACCTTTCGAGAGAAATGTTTATTTTTCCCATGCAAATAATGATCAATATTTGTATCAATCTTTGGTGCCAGTCATAGCAGAGGATTACAACATGACTGTAAATAAAGTCGAATTGTCGTATAAAAGTTATCAGTTGAAACAAGTTGCTGTTTTATTAGCTAAAATATTTCTGTCACTTATTGCTAATGCATGCAGTGATTTTGTAAGGTAATGCTGTGAACGAGGGCGGCTGGCCTGGCCCCCACACCCACCTTCCTGGCTAGCAGACCCTTCCTTCTCATGCCGCAGGCCTCCAGCTGCACGCGGCCCCGGAGGGCCAGCTCGATGAGCATGCAGCCGCGGAGCCCCGACGACATGCAATCGTTCCAGAAGGACGTGTAACCCTGGCAACACAGACAACGACGCCACCTTAGAGACGATCCGTTCAAGGTGGTCACTGATCCCAAATGATGCCCTGTCTGCATGCTCAGCTGGATTGATATTTCAGCTCAAGAGGACAAGTGCTAACAATCAATGCCACAGTGTGTCTGACATCTCAGGAAAACTGCCCTTTTGTAGTAAAGTACTAATTCCCAGGAATCGGTAGGGAGAGAAAGGTGTGAGTATTAGGGCTGTGAATGCATCCTAGGTTAGGCCCGAATTTCACCTAATCAATTGGCTGTTGAATGTACTTAGTGTTTAAGTCATGTTTACATCAGCTCTCAGATTGGAAACCACAACACATCCATATAAGAGCAAACAATGAAAATGTGAAATAAATGAAAACCTACATACAATCCCATATACATACAATTTGTTCAAATTATGCTCCACCCTTAACTCAAGGTTATAATTCAGATTTTCTGATGTAAAATAAAAACATCTTAAAATAAAATAAAATACATTTCCCAAATGTAAATAGTTATTATACAATTTCCAAAAGTACATACATTAATTACATTTATTTTATGTTGTGCCTTCTCTAAAATAGCTTCTCTACTTAAAAGAGTTTAACGAGACATATGTGAGTTTAGGGTAATTATAGTGTAAATGACCAGAAAGTGAATAGAGAACAAAAGCCAGATGTTGACAGAGTGAAGAAGGTGCCATAGTTTGATTCAAAAAGAAAAAAAAGAAAAAAAAACACCTTTGGGGGTGTAAAGTCCTCTGGCTGTCTGACCCCACTGTCATGTGAACAAAAAATAAACAGGGCAGACAGTAGTGTATGTGTTTGTATATCTTCTGCTATCTTCTGTCAAGCTGGGGTCACGACCCTCTCTCTGGGTCAGCTCTCATTTTCTGTAGCTCTGCCTGTGATCTGTTATGTCCATCTGCAGTTTTGGCATGAACTCTGGCCCGGGTACAAAGAATCCCGCCATGTGGAGCAGGAGAGAGTGACACCATGGCTCAGACAGATTTAAATTCTGAGAGTGGGGGGTGTCCCACACATACACAACTATAGAGCAGAAGCCCTGAGGCTGAAGTGTCTATGGGAGGAACTGCAAGGAGGCCTGCAGTAGGTGAGGCCTGCAGTCAGCGAGGTCTGCAGTAGGTGAGGCCTGCAGTCGGTGAGGCCTGCAGTCGGCGAGGTCTGCAGTAGGCGAGGCCTGCAGTCGGTGAGGCCTGCAGTCAGCGAGGCCTGCAGTCAGCGAGGTCTGCAGTCAGCGAGGCCTGCAGTCAGGGACCTCAGTGGAGGTTCCGCATTGTACATGCTGGCTGGTTCTCTTAGATAAGCAGGGGCCTTGCCCTTTAGCGCTCGCTAAGCAGGGAAAAGAATTTTAAATGTTTTTCTTGTATTGCTAGTGGACAGGCAGTATAGACTGGCTACAATATGGTTGAACTGACTCCTAATTACAATTCTTACTGCATTTTGAATCTGCTGCAGGAAATATGTGCGATTCAGGATCCCTGAAAGCAAAGCATTAAAATAATCTATTCTTCTATATATAACTGCATACAATACATTTTTTGTGTCTTGGGGAGCTGGAAAATGTCTGTTTTTTAAGCTGCCAGGAGCAACTCCAAGACAAAGACTGTGAGAATTAAACAGCAGGTCTGCACTGAAAAATTCATTAATGAACGACAAACTAATTACTTTCCAAGAATGGCGTACAAAATCAAGTTTAAAATACATTAACAGCAATTATTTATAAAAAATAACAGTCCAGCCTCATAGAAACATTTTAATGAATCCATGCGATGCTTGTTATAATCATATTGGGCCCCCAATCCAGACAAATTCAATTATGTTCCAATTTTTGGTTACGCTTTACATTAAGTGCACCTTCATAATGCATTCATAATGCAGTCATAGAACATTCAGTACACCTTCATAATGCATTCATAATACATTCAAAGAACATTCATAAGCAGCATGCAAGTACACCTTAACATCCTAGCACCCCTTAACAGCTTTAAGATACATTAATAACAAACACATAATTATACAATTAGAATGTTTGTTATTATTATATAATGTTTGTTATTAATGTACAGTATATTACAGCTGGTAAGGGATGTTAGGATGTTAAGGTACATACATGCATGATGTTTATGAATGTTTTATGAATACTTAATGAATACATTATGAAGGTGTACTGAATGTTTTATGAATGCAATATAAAAGCTGAAGTTAATGTAAAGCATTACCCAATTTTTTAGGGCCCCCATCACTGAGGGACCCTGGGAATCGTCCCGCCCTTTCCTGCACCCCTGCCATGAGAACACAGCAGCTTCTATCCTTTACAGTCTATCAACAACATGCAGTTCTGTACAGCAGGTCTGCAGTCATCACTGACTGGTAGCAGGATGGAGCAGAACACAGCCACATAGCCTCCTGCACATCAGGGGATGGAAACGATGACAAACGCCTCCAGACAGGCCTGCTTATCAGCTCAGCCCCATACAAGCACAATACAACAGGTCACCATGTTTCAGTCACGTTAACCCAACAGGGCTCATTCCTGCCATACGACCACATATATACCTGCTACAGCTCCTCTGGACTTTATATGTAAAATGTACAGTCTGCATGGATGAGAGTCACACACCTGCCCAGGATTTAAGGTCCATCACAAATCACATGCATCTTAATCATTTAACACAGTGTTTCCCAACCCAGTCCTCGGGGAACCCTGGACAGTCCACGTTTTTGCTTCCTCTCAGCTCCCAACACACCTGTACCAGGTATTCGGTGTTCCTGATTGGCTGGGAACTGGGAGGGAGCAAAAACGTGGACTGCACGGGGTTCCCTGAGGATTGGATTGGGAAACACTGGTTTAACAATATCATGATGTTAAATCAGATTGTCTGACTCTGTTGTGGGGGGCGGGGGGGGCACTGAACTTAGCTGTATAACAGAAGATGAGAAATCTTGGACCACAGTATCAAGAAAGAAATCGTGCACTGTCATGTTTACATAAACAACAAAAATAAACTCCAGTGAGGCCCAACTGTAATGCTTCAAGAGCTACTCAAACAAATACACTGTGGCAAAGGCTTCCCAGGTCAAGCAGAGATTTAAGACACCCTGTTGAGGATTCTTCCCCAGCATTGTGGAGACACTCAACTGCCGGCACACAGCCGGCGTGGAGCTCAAACCGGTCGGCCTTCTTTGACAGTCACCAGAGCGCTAACATTTGACAAGTGGGTGGAAATTCCCAAAAGAAACATGTGCTGTACTATCACATGAATCCTGAACTCAAGATACCATACCACAAAGACAGCAGAAGGTCCCGCTTCCCTAAACACCTTATGCCTTGAAACTGCACGAATGCAAAAAAAAAAACAAAACAACAGTATGACCATTCCAGGCTCCCTCTCATTCAAGTGGCTGATCAGGCAAACAGTGATCTGATTACATTACCACGCTTTACTGAAATTGGTGACCTCTTCTGCTTTCAGTCAGCTAAGTTACTTTCTGCCTAATCTCTCTGTAAAGCCAGACTCGGAGGCCCAGGAACCTCTGTGAACTGCTGTGCAGGAAATACCTCTCTTTCCCACTCCCTCTCCTCCTCTTTCCCACTCTTTCTCCTTCCCCTTCCTAGCTCTCTTTCTCCCTCTCTCTCTCCTTCTCTCTCTCCTCCTCTCTCTCCCCCCTTTCTAGCACTCTCGCTCTCTCCAACACACTTTTGCTTACTATCCCTCTCTCTCACCCCTTTCTAGCTCTCTCCTTCACTCTCCTCCTCTCAATTACTCTCTCATCCATTTCTAGCTCTCTCTCCCTCACTCTCTCTCCCCCTTTCTAGTTCTTTCTCGCCCTCTTTCTCTCTCCTCCTCTCTCCCTCTCTCTCATCCTTTCTCTCTCTCTCCAGCTCTCTCCCCTATTTCTAGCTCTCTCCCTCTCTCTCTCCTCCTCTCTCCCTCACTCTCTCTCCCCCTTTC